TAAATGTGTGAATCAAACAATTCCAACACTGGTGTGAACACGGGCAGTAATTTTGCTCGAAATATTACCAATAACAAAACTTATCATTGTGTGTAAACTATTAAAATATAATTATACTTTATTTAATAGAAATGGTCTTATCAATAATAAGGATGAAAAAGTGAGGCAATCTGTGATAACACGAATAATGAAAAACAGCATGATTAAACAAACAACTGTTCAGGTGGAAGTAGTCGATAAAGGCTAGTAAAAACAAGTGAACCGATTAAGTAATGTTAGATTGTAAGGGAAGGAAATGAAACACGTTTATAATGAAGATAAGATTAAGGGATGATAAGAAAGGGGATGAAAATACAAACAAAGGGTGGTGTAGAAGTTATTAGTTGGTTACGTCCTAATAGGCCAAGGGAGGGATAAAGGCTGTGCGAACTTTTTTTGAATACATAATTTAGGTTTAATAGTTCGAATGCCTATTGCCTCAGCTGTGTGTAGTAGACGAATACGAAGTCTATTGGAAAGATTCGGTGGGATACGATGAATCACTTTGAAAGCTCTCGTTTTCTCAATTACATGACCACTATCAATTAAGTGTGACAAAATTGAGCTACGGATTGTTTTTGTCTGTCCTTTGCCAAACCACGATGGGAGATGCTCACTAACACGTTGGCTAAGCTGTCTAGTAGTACGCCCAATATAACTGTCACCGCAGGTGCAGTTGAATTGATAAATACACATAGATGTGGCAAAACTATCAAGCTTATCCTTCGTTTGCGTCGCAATCATTCGTCGGCTAGAGAATGACAAACATAGGTGTGCTGCGTAAAATGTTCTTCGTATAGTCCTTGAAAGTCGTTGGAATAGAATCTCACTTGATAAGTCACCATTAAATTGTAACTTAATAAATAGAGGTTTCTTACGTGCCGTCAGAGTCTCCGGTTTTTTCTCCGATGTTTTACTGGACAAAAGCGATTATGTGGAGAAAATGGAAGGCATTTTGAATGATCAAACTAAATTCCAATCCCTTGGGGTTTCCAAAGACCTCAATGGAAGAGCGGAGAAACTAATGACCGACTCCCTCAAAAAACTGAACCAAATAGGAGTATTATCACCAGCCACGTATGAGTCCATGAAGCCAACGGGTACTTATACTCCACGTCTTTACGGTCTACCAAAAGTTCACAAACCGGGTCTTCCTCTTCGCCCTGTTTTAGATATGTATAACTCTCCATTTCATGGAACAGCGAAGTGGTTAGTGAAGATTTTGGGTCCTTTGCACAGAGAAATCGTGCAACATAGAATTAGTGATGTCTTTGACTTTATTTCTAAAATATCCGAGACTAATGTGAGGTATAAACGCATGTTATCCATGGATGTATCATCACTATTCACTAATGTACCGCTTATGGAAACAGTAGACTATATTTGTCAAGAAATCGCCGAAAGGCAATTAGACTTAGGAATCCCCTTGTGTAGCCTCAAAGAATTACTTCTTAAATGCACAATGAATGTTCACTTCGTCTTTAATAATGCATACTATCGACAAGTAGATGGAATAGCTATGGGTTCACCATTAGGCCCAATGTTAGCTGACTTCTTTCTCGCAAAACTTGAAAACGGGAAATTGAAGGACATCATCAAGCAGTTTGATATGTATTATCGATATGTCGATGATACATTTATCTTAGCTGACGAGAATGTTAATATAGACGAATTGTTGCTGAAATTCAACAACATCCACCCTTCGCTTACCTTTACTTGTGAAGAGGAGCAGGACAATAAACTACATTTCCTGGATGTCTTGCTAAATAAGAGAGAAGATGGGTCACTTGGGAGAAGCGTGTATAGAAAAAGCACTTTCACAGGGCAATATACACACTTCCTTAGTTACGTGCCTATTAAATATAAAAGGAATGCCGTAAAATGTCTTGCGAGCAGAGCAAGAAAGATATGTACAGATGACCTCTTACAAAAGGAATTTGAATATATTCACGAATCCTTGATGGAGATGGGCTATCCGAGTAATTTCGTAAAGAAACATATGAAAACATCGGAGAAAAAACCGGAGACTCTGACGGCACGTAAGAAACCTCTATTTATTAAGTTACAATTTAATGGTGACTTATCAAGTGAGATTCTATTCCAACGACTTTCAAGGACTATACGAAGAACATTTTACGCAGCACACCTATGTTTGTCATTCTCTAGCCGACGAATGATTGCGACGCAAACGAAGGATAAGCTTGATAGTTTTGCCACATCTATGTGTATTTATCAATTCAACTGCACCTGCGGTGACAGTTATATTGGGCGTACTACTAGACAGCTTAGCCAACGTGTTAGTGAGCATCTCCCATCGTGGTTTGGCAAAGGACAGACAAAAACAATCCGTAGCTCAATTTTGTCACACTTAATTGATAGTGGTCATGTAATTGAGAAAACGAGAGCTTTCAAAGTGATTCATCGTATCCCACCGAATCTTTCCAATAGACTTCGTATTCGTCTACTACACACAGCTGAGGCAATAGGCATTCGAACTATTAAACCTAAATTATGTATTCAAAAAAAGTTCGTACAGCCTTTATCCCTCCCTTGGCCTATTAGGACGTAACCAACTAATAACTTCTACACCACCCTTTGTTTGTATTTTCATCCCCTTTCTTATCATCCCTTAATCTTATCTTCATTATAAACGTGTTTCATTTCCTTCCCTTACAATCTAACATTACTTAATCGGTTCACTTGTTTTTACTAGCCTTTATCGACTACTTCCACCTGAACAGTTGTTTGTTTAATCATGCTGTTTTTCATTATTCGTGTTATCACAGATTGCCTCACTTTTTCATCCTTATTATTGATAAGACCATTTCTATTATTACTATAATTATTATTATCATTACTACTATTATGACTAATTGCACAATTTATATTCACCATCGTATTATCCTATAGACAAAACACCATGATTGGTTTATATTTGAATTTTATTTGTAAACTTATATATATTGGAGTTAAGCCTGATGAGATCTAATTGAAAACAATATTGTTCGCTTAAATGTGTTGTTCTAAATTTTACTATGGGAATATTTAATATAAGTGTGTATGACAAGTACGTGTGTGATCAGAATGTCCGAAGTGTGTTGCACAAAAATACATTCACACGTTTTAGATAAACTATGTCTGTTCTAACTCCATTGCTCATATGATTATGGGCAATAATTTATACTCGAAATGTCATCAGTTAATATTACCGTACAACACTGTGTGATTTATCAAAATAAAATCTTATCCATAATGCAGTTATACTCTACCACAGTGCCCAAGTTTTATGCTTGTATAATGTCTGTTTTAATTGTTGCGTGGTGGTTGAAAATGGAATGTGGATCATTCACTTTGTTTTTATTTACAACTGGCAAACTGTCTGTTATTGTAAATAATTGATTCGCAGTATTCCTTTTAACATTTTCGTAACATGATAAATAATGTGCACTTTCTTCATTCTACCATTAATCAATGCCAAGTAATACGACTGTAGTAGTAATATTTTTGCTCTAAACTCATAAACCAATAAAAACTCGCTATTTTGCGTCAACTGGATTGGAATTTTTTTCGAATTTCCTTTTCAGTTAGCAATCATAATTTCATTGTGACTCGGGAAACTGGTTGGTAGCTTTCCAACGAACGTTATGAGTAGTGTAAGTATCGTGGTTGTTTTACCTGAAATGGAAAATATGAACTTACAAGGGCATTCGTTTGATGGTTCTTCAGTTACTTCAAAGCATCTAGTCCGAATCCTATTAACCAACACATCATCATGAAAGAAGTGACATGATTTATACATTCTTATCCACAATAAAGTTCGGCAAGGTCGGTGGAGAATAAAATGTTCTGATTGGTTGGCTATTGGTGCAAGGTCAGACAAGTTGTCCAATCAGGTTATTTCACGTGCATAACGTAGACTAAATGTAGATTTGAGAAAAATACACTTCTACGTCTGCAGCCAACCATTAACTTAGAATGCTGATTTCAGTTTCGGCCGCATCCTGGCAATTTGCATTGAATTACATTGTTATTTGTCTCGCAAAGATTAGCCCAGTGTTTTTTCCTTTTTGACTACTTGATATACAAGTGGTTTACCAAAGCTATGTTCTCATCTTAACATGATTAAATTTATCTTTGATGGAGGGTCTCATGGTTTTCATATTTTCTAAATTACAGGTAACCTATCTGGTAAGTATTGACTACACATTGTCTACTTGTACTCTCTCTGTGTACTCCTCTTTTTTGCTTCTTCATCGTTTTATATCTAACTGAAAGTTTTTTTCTATTTCAGTGTGAACGTTTGTTCTGTTGTTTTCGTCGTTCTTCCGATGATGATGATTCACATATTCGATATGAATCATATTCACAGAATCGTGGTCCAAGTTCTGTAGACCCAGAAACACGTAGACAATTGCAAGCAGAAGCTGCTGAACGCCGACTAGCTGAAAGTTCAACACGAGGAATTGCAGATCCTGAAAGTGTAAGGCGAAAACAGGAACGGGCTGAAGAAATAGAAAAAATGCAGTATGCTTCAGGGAAATCAGATAATAAACTACAGTGGAATGTTAATTAACTGATCTGTTCATTTTAATATAAGTGAGTGATACATTTAATTTGTAATTATTTCTCATATGTTTACAGTTTGGTAACAGTAAAAAAGGAATATTATGCTCCACTCTACTTGTTAATATCTAAAAAAAGTCGTCAGAACTCATATTATGCATGTGACTATTCAAATGGCAAACCATCTTTTGGCTTAATAATTCAAGTTGTCGCCATTTAAATAAGCATCATTCAACATCGCTGAGTATATATAATAAACAGGCTCTGTAAAAGCTTAGACAATAACACATCCATAGGAACGGTTGCACCCAATAATTGCAAAATAATAAGTTAGAAGTGTAACGGCAGAATGCAAGAGTGGTTGGTAACGAAATGCTTCTTTGCAACTTGATATACACGTATACGGGAATTATGTTTACCTTATATTAAGGTCATCATTTGCACAGATCTCCCGTGTTGTGCCATTTCTGCCCTTCATACGGTGTTTCTTTGAGTAATAATGATAATATGTAATTGAATTTTAGATTTTCCTGTCGATTGATTGAACTGAAGTGCTCGGTCTCAGGTTGACATGTTGGCTTCTTGTGCAGATGCACTTCGGTCCAACCAATCGACGGGAAAATCTAAAATTCAATTAAATAATTAATATGACCCGTTGCACAAGAGGTGGCTCTCGTGGCCCAAGCGGTCTAGCGGAAAACGATTTGGCGTTTGAAAATATGGGCACTGGGTTCGAGCCCCGGTGGGAACACCATCACTCACTGGGAAATGCAGGTACATGCAGATGACGAGTCCCAAATAGGACGAAATGCGCGTTATCCTGGATTCCACTGCTAGTCACTATCCACAAATCAAATTAAATGATAATATGTGTTTTCAATAGATGGTAGACATAATCATATAAACGATGCTTGGATTGCAGAAAGTTTGAAACGAAGGAAAGTTACCTACTGATTGGAACTAACAATAAGGGGTGACTTAAGCCTGTGCAAAAACTAGCACGGAATCATGTTCCTGTCCACACCAAACAAAATATTAAGTCGTGTTATCCTGAAAAGATTAAGAATGCTGGGGATGGGGAACTCCTCATGGAATATGCTGTACTCAGGAAAAACAAATAATGTGCGGATCAAATCTCAACGCTATGCATCACCATCGAACAGAGCATAAAATGGCAGTCAAATCTATGCATCAACTCCAAGAAAGTCTTCAGTAGCGTTGAATGTGAAGTAATCTGGATACCGCTTCAGCACTATGGAGTGCCCCAAATTTCTATCAACCTCATTCAACAGCTTTATGATGACGCCATACGTCAAGTGGTTCGCAACTAATAACTTCTTGAAGCTTTCAGAAGTGAAGACAGGAATAAGACAATGATGCCTACCATCACTGATAATATTTCTGATTATAGTGGAGTCGATCATGCAGCAGGCCATGACGAGCTAGGAAAAAGGAGTACACTGAGCAGAGAAAACTCTAGAAGATCTGGACTTCTCGGACGATGTACGTCTGGTGTCACACAAACTCAAAGATCTACTTGCGAAAACCAATAAGTCGGCTGAAGTAACAGGCAGCAAAGACAAGACTTTTTTTGGTTATAGCTTGAAACCACACAGTGTTTTTGGTACAAGTATGGAATTTTCAGCATGTGATATCGGTAGCCCAAATTCTCCAGGCCAACCATATATATCGGGTGTGCGTCGGCAGGGGATCGAACCTCGGACCATGTGCATGGTCGGCGAGCATCCTAACCACTGTGCCACCGGCGCACACTTCAAGTGAGCATGGAGAAGACAGAGGTGGTGTAGGTACCTAGCGACCACCACCACCAACAACAACAAGGCCAATCACTATCAACAGAAGAAATTTGGAAGAGGTCACTTTCTTCACATACATAGGCACCATCGTTTCAACTACAGACAGACGGCACGGATAACGATGCAAAGCCAGAATCAGAAACGCAAGACAGACCTTCATCACTCTGAAATCAGTTTGTAAATCTTCCGCACTCAGCATAAAGAACACAATTTGGATTTTCAACAATAATGTTAAGTCCAGTTCTTCTATATAGTTCAGAAATTTGGTGCTTAACAAAGAAAAAACATTTCCAGCAGCTTGCAGACTTTTATCAACAGTTGCCTTCTCTACACATTCAAGATCAAATAGCTAAAAACAGTTAGCAACAAGAAACTATGGGAACAAACAAGTCAAGAATGTATTGCTCAACAAATTTCCCAAAGAAGTTGGAGATGAATCTGACACACGCTTAGGAGACCATCGGGTGACATCTCGCGCCAGGTCATAGTTTGGGTGGAACCCGAATAGGAGACAACGAGTTAGGTGTTTAAGGGTAACATGAGGGAAATTAGCGCGTATGGACAAACGTGAATCCAACTAAGGAGTATTACGCAATATTGGATGAAATGGAGATATGCTTTTGAACTCCTATGTTCTACTCTGAATCTAAGGGAATAATGATCACTATAATTGGCTAGTTAATCAGGAGTGTTACATTATATATATATATATATATATATATATATATATATATATATATGAAACTGAGAATAATGTCTGTATATGTATTCCTGGGTATTTGTACCTATTGAATATAGCTGAAGAATAGTCGTAAAGGCAACAAAGGTCAGCAAATAGTGTTCTTTTCGTAACCTCACTTCATATCCATACAGTAGTTACATAGTGTTCTAAAAAGTCAGGAAACATTAAGTAGTGAATATCAATCAGAAATGATTACTATTCAGACTACAAGCTGTAGGAAACCCGAATATTGTTCATACTAGTAGGAGGCCCAGAATATTACGTATATTTTAAAGTTAGAAGTTTGAAAGGAAAAAATGAGAGGGGGAACCGAACGGTTATGAATTACATACCAAATTATTGTAAAAACTGAAAAAAGGAAACGTTTGTGGGTCACGGTAGTGAAAAGGATTAGGTAAACCGTTTCTGTGCACCCAATTTGGGGTTCTCCTTGTGTACAGCTTGAGCTACTACTGGAAACAGAACAGGTAGTTGGAAACCGTTCAAACAGTTGACTGATGGTTTATTGGCATCATAAGTTGACTGTGTCGAGATCGATCTCTTGTAGAGTCATTGGTTCGCACTGTTAAGGAATTCGAATTAGATCTCGGTTTTCGATGATTCCCTGTAGGACTTCGACTAATGATAAAATATATTTTCGAAGAAGTTAACTCCCTCATATAGGATAGTTGAGTTTTTCTGATAGATTTCAGTCTGCACCAAACAAAGGACTAGACACATTGCACTAGTAACTAACTAGTGTCCAATCAAAAGTAGCCAATACAGTCCTACAGGAGGTCAATCGCGAGCCCGAATAGCTCAGTGGTAACGTCTCTGACTGCAGCACTGGGTGACGCGGGTTCGAATCTCAGAAGGAGGGACAATAGTTCCTTCAAGGTTGCAGATACACCTTGCTGACGAGTGCCAACTAGCACGAAATTTAGGTCGAAGGCTTCCTGTGGCCGATTGCCTCCAACTATCTAATATCATCAAATCAATGTGCACCGTGATGGCGAGCTACCTAGAATGGTGGCCACATTGCAAACCTGACTGACTGATAGAATTCAGTCTGCACCAAGGAAAGGACTAGACACGTCACACTAGTTACTAGTGTCCAATGAAAATACACCCTATTCGTATTGTTCATATAGTTCTGTAGAACTTTGATTAAATATTTTGATAGTTTAATCTTTCTGTGGAGCAACAAAATATGCCACTCTTCTCTATTTACAAATAGTTTTGCAATTTTTTTTTTGTTTCATAGTTAAACTATTGACTCTTCTGCTATTGTCATATTCTGCTTTACAAACGTATTTTGATTAGTTACTACGATAAGTTTCACAGTATATTCTTTTTGCGTCTCTAAAAACTTTGAGTCAAATCTATGTTGAATGTGACGAGACTACTCTACTAGACACATGGGCTGAATCTATTGATCCAGTAGCGTCTAGGTGATAGTATTATACTTCACGTGATACTTATAGTTTACTCGCTAGTTAGTGAGAAAACTGTATCTTATTAGTGAATTGCTCCAGACTATGTATACATAAAACTAAGGGTATTCTTCATATATATATTGGCAAAAAGTACACCATCAGTTGGCATCCCGGCGGGTGCGTACTTCTGAAGAGTCCCAAACTAGGACGAAACAGCCGTTCAGTACTCCCATATTTTCTGGTGGTTCATTAACTGATGTCAGCTGATGATGAAATCCTCCAGCCAATCAAACGAAATCCCTACAAAACCAATACTTGAAAATTCCCTTTTTTCTTCTCTCCAAGCTTTCGTTCTTTATTATTAATATTAGTCCCTTGGGTTCCGACTTATACATAGGGCTTCAACAGCACATCCTGTTCTCTATCGTCTTTTTAGACGGCTCCATATTTGCATATAAGCTCTCATCTCCTTTATTCACCTAAGGACCATGCCCAACTTGTCGCCTCCCTTTCGGGTTCTACTCGAGTGCCTCTTATACGGTGTGTTATGTCACTCATCCGTCTACTCAGCATGTGTCCAATTCATTTCCATTTTCTTTAACATATTTGTTGGACAACAAGTTATTGATTGGTTTGCTGGCTGTCAGTGTTCTTCGCTGTTTATCCTTTCTGGCTATTTTATCTTGGGTATAGAGGCGAAGGCAATACTGTTGATAAAGCACTCAAGTTTCAGCTAAAGGCTCCGGAATTTGGATGCCGTTCTGCCTATTTCAACCCGGACAATTTAAGCTTTGACACAATAAGTCTGATTGATCGCCTGATAAGTGAAAAATCTATTCTGGATAGTTTATGTTCTAATATTTAAATAAATAACATAGATATTGTAAGCAATCGTAGTGTGAACAGTTGAGTAAGTTCTATTCATCTACTTCAGGAAAGTTAAACTACAACAATCACTCCGGCACAAGTTAGAGATACTAGAGGTATAATCAAATCGAAATACGCCCTCCCTCCTGAATTTGCTCTTCGAGTTGCAGGAAGATTTAGCGTTTGATTACTTTGTTAACAATAGATTAATTTGAGTTAGTAAAACAAACATATGTGGGGGGACCTTGAAAAGATAACTTGTCTTTAGGGAGGAGTGAAATTTTGGGATAGATTAAAGAACAGAATCAGAAACAGGCGAAGTTATAGTATCATAGCCAAGACCAATTTATTTCAAAAGTTGACCTTCAAGAACTAATCAGATACAGGGAGTGCTATGAAGGTTCATTCCAAATCAAATCATGCCTGACTATCTGAACTATGGATAAAATATTCCACTTATTCTGTAGGTACATCTTATGTGAATCTATGGTGTTAGGTGGGGTTATGGCTTTTTAGACTAGGGTTTAATGCCTATAGTTAAGGTTAGGATTAGGGTGATAGTCAGGCATAGGTCAAAGAACAGTGTCAGGAATGTCAATAGATCTCAAAGTACCATGACATGCAGTCACCTGGACGAATGGGTGTATCGCGCATGGCTCTATTTCTCTATAGATTATCTGTGTAGCGAGTGACTGGGAGAAATTCTTACAACACATAAGCGACAACTATGTAGTATTATAATATTATGTTTGCAATGTGTTTTTAGTGCATTTTTCAACGATTATACGACTTTTTTGCATCTGAATTCTGATTGGTTGTTCAAGGTCACTGTTGTTTTGGCTATTATAATTTAACTTTTCTCAGAAATATATGTGGATCGCATGACACCCTGATCTATAATCATATTTTTTTTTAAATAGTTTGGAGGCTTTTATTGATGCTTAACTCTGATCAATTGTTCTACTCTACTTCCTTCCATGAAAATGTTAATCATTCGTGATATACTTTCCTGTTTTTGTTTGATTTCAGATTTATTCTACCAGAGATCCGAGGCATTTGTCTGAAAATGAATTATAAGTAACTAACTCTGATAATTCTCAAGTCGTGTATCCTACTTGTTCTTTTCTCCTTGACGCGGTATATTTTTCATTGCGCGGGTGTGTGTTTGTGTGTTAAGATGATGTAAGTTGTAGTAATACATATATTTATTTTTTAAATGACACTATATTAGGCTTCCTTTTGGAGGTGTGGACACCAATGAAATTTTTTATAAACTCCATTACTCTTTACTCCAACAAATATCAGTTTCTTCTATTGAACATTGAAATTTTCAATGATGGCGCTTTTTGCTTGTTTAATTCAAATAAATATTATCTTATCCTCCTCCGCACAAAGATGTCTATGCTTCAGATTGTTTAATAAGAAATAGCATTTTTGTTTTTGCGCATTAACTTCATTGGATTATATTTTATTTTGTTTTACTATATTGAATCTGTGTGTATACATTGAACACGACTGTGTGCCTATGACTAATATTATAACTGACCTTGAGCCTATTGTGTGCTTAAACTTCATAATGTAGTATATTTGGAGTAAGGACTAACTTGTACGCTTCAAGCTTGTTTACCATTCTGTTTTTTCCTTATCCTTTCGCAATCATAAAACAGTATGCATCACGTAATCAACCTTTCATGGAATCTTGTTATTTCTTAACCATATATTTCATATGCTATGCCTGTTTAGTAAACCTCTGTCTGTTTCAATTAGGTGTTGTTTGTTGGCTTGTTTTTTTTCAATATTTTTGTCAACACATCTTATCTCCATTGTTTGTTTACTATTATTGCTATCGTGGTTGTGTTTGATTATTGAAAAGACAGTTTCAGCGAAGAAAATTTTCTTTTCGATGAAGTCATCAACTAGGCTGTATATTCGTGTATTTATAT